CATAGAGATGGATGACTTGTACTTCTCAAGTAGCCTGTGTCCTCAGGCAGACTGTGGAGTAGAGTGGGGAGGCGAGCTGGTCAGATTCCTAGCTTGCTTTCTGTACCTGCCAGAGGCCCAAAGAGTGGGAATGAGGGTAGTGCCCAAGGCACATCTGTTTATTAGTGCTGTTGGTTTTTTTGTTGGTTTCACAGGGTGCCAGGAAATTGCTGAGGAGTTTCGGTCACAGGAAATTGATGGCCAGGCCCTGTTGCTTCTGAAGGAAGAACACCTCATGAGTGCCATGAACATCAAGCTGGGACCAGCTCTCAAGATCTGTGCCAAGATCAATGTCCTCAAGGAGACCTAACAGCTCTGAAGCCAGAGGTCTCACTTTTGCTCTGACCCCAGGGCAGCTGCCAGCTTTGGAACATCCTGCTGGGACGGGGGAGAATGGGACAGTCCCCTGTGGTCTTGCTTCGGAAGAATAAGAAGGAATTTAACTGATTGAAACTGCCATGCACAAGCCCATGTTTTCGTCTCAATGGTGCTACAAGCGGGAGGAAAACTCCCACCTGGGGCCTTGAAACATCTTTCCTTCTTCCTGATTTTGAATATGCCTCTTGTATACCACATAAAGACATGAAGGGGACCCCTTTCTGTGTTATCATACTTCTGAAAGGGAGTTGCTGTTGCCCCTTTTTGCTACAGCAGGTCTGCTAGATCTTAGTTTTGAATATCACTGTGCCAGAACTTGAGGCATAGGAAGAGCTGGCCCCACATGGACATAGGGAGCAGCTGTGCTTAGGGCATTTGGGAAGGGGAACTGATAAATTCCAAGTGACAAAGGTGGACAAACAAGAATTCGAGCAGAAGGGGCTGCTGCTGTTACATTCTTAAAAACATAGCTAGGCTGCTCATGAAATGGGTTTAATAGCCATTCTAGTGTGCATACCAAACTTGAAGGCCCGTGGCAATAGGAGCTGCCTTAGCTTTACTGTCTCCTGTAGAGATGCAGAGTGAAGACAAAGTGTTGCAGCAGCTGTTCACTCTAGATGCTCTTCTCTGAACCAGTCAGAGGAGGATTTATTCTGCGTACTTATGACAAGGTGATGGGAAAATCAGTGGGGAGGGGGATTGTCTTATATTAGGGAACCCTGCAGCCGTAGGTTTGTCTCCCCGTTGTGCTAGGGCATAACTTACAGATCCAAAGCAGTCTCCAGAAGCGCCAAGGCTCTTCTTCATAAAATGGGCTGGAGTTTTCGTGGTGGTTTTTTTTTGTTTTGTTTTTATCAGTTTATACTATTTTTGTGTCTGTCTTCATTATCCTCAGGAGATCTTATGGGACAAAGTTTAAGCTGGCAGGATTATATTGCCTGCCTCAGGATTTTTTTTTTTGGGGTGTTTATAAACCAAGTATTTTTCTTCCTCAGTTAAAAAAAAAAAAAAACAAACAAACCAAAAACACACCCTCCAACAACTGAATACTAATCCTTTGATACTACTTCCCCTTTCTAAGGGGTAGAATTATATTATAGGCTGAGTCCCTCCCTTTCTGCCCCTCCACGTTTGGGTTTTGTGGGGTTTTTTTTAAGGACCAAATGTGGTATTCTGACATTTTGTAACCAGATTGCCAAAAAGACCTGGGCAGAGTTCTCTTCCAGAAGCACCTCTCTCAAACAGTCAAAAAAACCTGAAGAAATTACACAAAGCATGAAGAGGTAAATGCCCCCTAGAGCCAAATACCTGAGAACAAGATGATTTTTATAAACTATGTCTCAGCTTTTCTGTTTTCCAAAGTTTCATGTGAATAATTGAGTGAAACATAAGACTGTTCTGTGTGGAAATCACCTACTGTTGCAGGAAAGCTATAGTGACATGGGAGGAGGCCTAATGGGGGGATGATGGGATTAAGAGCAGCCCTGCAGAGAGGGACTTGAGAGTATAGGTGGATGATATGCTCTTGCAGCCCCGAAGCTCAACTGTATCCTGGGTTGCATCAAAAGTGTGGCCAGCAGGTAGAGGGAGGTGATTCTGCCCCTCTGCTCTGCTCTGAGGAGACCCTCACCTGCAGTGCTGTGTCCATCTTGGGCCTCCCAGCATAAGAAAGACATGGACCTGCTTGAGTGGGTCCAGAGGAGGGTCACTAAAGTGATCAGGGGGCTGGAGCACCTCCCCTGTGAGGAAAGGCTGAGAGAGTTGGGGTTGTTCAGCCTGGAGAAGAGAAGGCTCAGAAAACCTCACTGCAGCCTCTCAGAACTTAACAGGGGCCTGTAAGAAAGATGGGGGCAATTTTTTAGCAGGGCCTGTTGTGATAGGACAAGGAGTAATTAATGGTTTCAAACTAAAAGAGGGCAGATTTAGGCTAGATATAAGGAAGAAATTTTTTACAATGAGGGTGGTGAAACACTGGAACAGGCTGCCCAGAGAGGCAGTAGAAGCCCCATCCCTGGCAACATTTAAGGAGAGGAGCAACCTGATTAACATAAAGATGTCCCTGCTCACTGCAGGTGGATTGGACTAGATGACTTCTAAAGGTTCCTTCCAACCCAGACTATCCTATGATTCTAATAGCATAGGTAGGAAAACATTAGAGGTATTTGGAATGGGCTCTTTATTGACCCATGTTAGAAAAAGAGAGGAGGGAAGGTGCGTAGATGGATAAAATGTGGCAGCAGCTTCCCAGTGTTAACTACAGTTGAATTTCACTTCAATGACATCCTTGTACCTGTTAGAGAAGAATTCTGAGGCTTCTTGAATGGAAATAGGCCCAAAGGAAGCTGCCCATGCTTGTACCCTGATAACACCATTTGGTCTGATGTGAAGGGGGAGATTAGAATCTCTTAACAGCAGTCAGCAGAGGAAGGCTGCCCTTAAACCATTTTATCCTTAACAGGCTGGGTATGATAAAACTCCCATTTAGTTTGATCCTTGGCATGGTAGGCAGGTGGCTGGCCTGCCTCTTACTGGATACTTGAGGACTGGATTTTATTTCAGTCAAATGGGAAGGCTTCACTTCATTTCACATTCAATGTTCTTAATAATAAAATGCTTGTTCAGGCTTTGCAGGTCTGTCTGCTTTTTAACCTGCCTCTCCTCAACCTGAACATTAATCTAGCATTTGAAAAGCACAACTGTCAAAAAAATTACTTTTGATTTTTATTGTTGCAGAAAAATACAGATCATAAGAAACTTTTCCCACCCATAACTACCTGAGCTTTTAAAGTTTCAGTTTTGAAAGACATGTATACCGCTCCCTGTATACCCCTCCCTATTAAGCCCTAAGGGAACTGGAGTGATACAAGCTGGTAGCAAAAAACATGTACTAACAGGAAGATCCATTCTTGCAAGAATAGTTCAGGCTCAAGGCACCACACACTAAGAACCCTTCGCCTTTGGCTAAGATGCTCTAGCACCAAAGAAAGCTCCTGTTACATCAGCACAATGCTTCACCAGGTTTTTTTTTGTTCATTTTATTTTTGAAAGTTGTGTTTTGTACAAAAAAAATTACCTTAAACACCACCATGAAAAACAGTAACAGACTTAGTGACTTCCTATTTTTCCCAAGTTATGAGAAAGAGTGGGACTATAACAAAAGTCAAAGAAAGCAGGAATTGTTTGCCTACTCTAAACCCAGCAAGAAAGCAGGGCCACTACTTTTCGCTCAGTGTCACTGTTCAGACTGCTTTGGCAGTATTAAAAAAACCCACAAACCTTGTCTGTACTCTGCTGTTAACAGCAGTGGCTTGCTTATTCACAGTCTCTGCCCTCAAGAGTGAGGACAGTTCTTTGCCAGTCTACAATAGGGCAGCATGGGATTACTCAGAGTCTAGCCCCTCAAAAAGAAACTGGGAATCAAGGTGCCAAGTTCCTGAAGGTTCCCATTGTCTTACAACTCATCTGTACCTGCTTTTCACCAGGGCCCCAGGAAAAAGTCTCTCACTCCCAGCCAGTAGCAGTATGGGAATACCATCAGTGTCTCAAGACTGGTCCGCACCATGCTTAAGGGGAGAGTCAATTAATGAAAGCTGACCCTCTAAGTGCAAGAGTCCCTTACACAGTTTTTAATGTGTTAGCATTCTTATCCTTGGCTTCTATGGTTCCTTTTTTATACAAATAAATTCCAGTAGCTTCATGGGAAAACGGTCTGCCAAAAAACAAACTTGGGAAGCATAAAATCACAATGCTGACAGTGACTGAGCTGTGTGGGCAGTCACCTCAGGAAGCTTGTAACAGAACTTCAGTGGCAGCTACCTATCTCATTTTGCCTTGATACCAGTTTCTGTTTCAGCAAATGTTCCCTTTACTTGGCAGGATGTCATTTCCTTTTGCTTCTAAATGATTGAGAAGACCGAGACAACATTTTGACTGAACTGGAAAGTCACAAGACTGTATTTAACTCCTATAGTTTTTTAGAATTGCCCCCCTCCAGTCTGACAGGATGGCATGCATCCCTTTACGTCTGTTGAAGGAAACAGGTGTGTACTCTTCAACACATTGCCATTAGGAAAAGAAAAGATTGCAGAGGTGCTAGTGCCTCTTCCACTCCCATGGAGCCGAGCACAGAGCACTCTGCAGGTTATGCTGGCAGAAACAGTGCAAGAGCTAGAAAAGCTGAAAATGCATTCAAAGAAAAATAATTCCAGTGTCTTACAGATCCTGTAAACCCTGGGGGGTGCAGGGTGGGGGGGGGGAGGACAAACAAGAGATCCCTCCTAGTCTCAGCTCTTAACCCATGGCCTCCTTTTCCTTCTCCTTTCTGCACTCATCCACGGCCCTTTTTTCATCTCAGCGATTCACCT